CTGAAAACCCCCTATTTTTGCAGATTCCGCGAGATTTCGCAAACACGCCCTTAAAGTGCAAGGCTTGCCGGAACAAAAATCATTTTTCTCGCTATCCTTATGCATTTAAAACTTCAATAATTCAAAATCCTGTGCGGTAATTCACTTTGCTCACCATTCTGAGTTAATATATAATTGACAGGCATTTCCTTAGACAAATTGTGCAAAAATATTGTTTTCACAACTAAATTTCATTATCATTATAGATATTTATGTAATTAATGAAACTTTATGAAACACCTACCGTTATGGATGTCCATGGTTTACATTCCAAATACCGGTTGTAGGTAAAATTAATCTATACAGTAAATTAAACAGGAGTGTCTGTTTGTAATATTAAAATAACAGATAAATTTACTAAATGCATGTGGATGTTGACATTTTTTACAATTTTAGTTCCGATTAATCTCTGAAACGGCTGGGCCGATTTTGACGGAACTTTCAGTTGCAGATTGCTAATGTAATAAGGAGTAACTTAGGCTACTTTTATTTTACAAATTTTAATTAATATATTTTAAATTCCACGCGGAAGATGTCATGGGCACAGCTAGTTTATAATTTAACAGTAATATAACAGGAAAACTCTATGTTTATACAAAAACCATGTAAAATTTATCATCCTTTAAATCTTATCCTTTAAACGAGCAATTCGTGTATATATATACTAGCGGCCCGCCCCGGCTTCGTACGGATATTTAACAAAATTTTTAAAACTAAAAATTATCATACACATAAAATATTTCGAATATTTCGTCTTTGGTGAATAATTTTATGAATTTCTTCATCTTTTAATGAAATACCCTTGAAATTACATAATAAAGATCGAAAGACCGCTGACCAGATAATGGTTCCGCTTTAGTTACGGGACATTCGGGGTTACACGTAAAAGTGACAAATAAGTCTGGTCTCCCATAGCTTCGGACATAAATCATCGCATTTTTTTGTTGACCGATATTTGATGAGCCAATGATTTAAAGCGTCTCTAAGATTGTTGTTGTTGTTTGTTGAATGTTTCACCAGCTCTCAGTCTCTGGTGATTACGACATCTTATGTAATTCATCTTTATGATACCTTTTTGCCATCATATCGACAATGTATTGAACAAAAACCGGCCAAGTGCGAGTCGTCTGACTCGCACTTGGCCGATCGGTCGCACACGATGGGTTCCGTACCGACCTCACAGAAGACCGGCGTAAAATAGAAGTGTTTCGTCTGGTGAGAGAGGTAGCCTGGGCCCACTTTATTTAAAGACGGCAACTCATTTGCAACCCTACAGGTGTTACCAATGTTCATGGGCGGCGGTTATTACTTAACATCAGGTGAACCGCCAGCTCGTTTGCCACTCTATCACTCTATCACCATTAAAAAAATCATGTTTAATATCTTTATTCAATATGGAAGTATAGGAGTATTACACTTACATATTGTTAAAAACACTACTACTGTCAACATTATCTATAAAAACGGCAAAAAAATCATGTCTGTTTTATGGGAGCCCCACTTATTTATAATTTTTTGTTTTTTAGTATTTCTTGTTATAGCGGCAACAGAAATACATCGTTTGGGAAAATTTCAACTAACTATCACGATTCATGTGATACAACCTGGTGACATATGGACAGACATACGGACATACAGACGGACAGCGGAGTCTTAGTAATAGGGTGCCGTATTACCCTTTGGGTACGGAACCCTGAATAAGTCCCAGTAATAATGAATGGCTTAAAACAGGTAGCTCTAACCATCAACCTAAATGCATAAAATTGCATGCATGTCACAGTTTTGTTACGCACTGTACCTTGCTGAGGAATAGTCAAATAATAACCGTCTTCTCCCATTACGACGATTAGGGGATATTGTAGTGGATCACAGTCACACAGTCATCACAGTGTCCCTCTGTCAACAGGCTGTATCTCATGAACCGTGATAGTTACACAGTTGAAATTTGATCTGGGTGTTTGTTTCCCAAGGAGGTTTAACGTCAGGCTGCTTGTAAAAATATAGCCGAAACCGCGTACAACATGCTTCATGTTGTTCCGACCGCACATAGGTGGGATAGAGGCAGGAAGATGATGATGACTTGTATACTTGACCCTCTATTTTACAAGTTCGCGTCAAACAAAGTAATTTGAAAGAGGTTATTGTACTTTCGGATATTGGTTAAAAATGTTCAGATGGTGAATGATTATTTAACAAAAGATTTTTTATTGGCTGTGGCGGCTCCTCAATATTGGGGAGACTAACTTTTCCAGAAGCACAGTACATACCGTTTGGTTCATTGACCCATTTTTAGGCAGAACACTGAGCAGATCTTATTCATGGCTTCGGATTGGACAGAAAAATGTTGAGCATAATGCAAAAAAGCGGATCCGTTACTATGAGCTAAAACTCTATTACGAACTCTAGTCGTTGACATTTGCTGTCTTTCTCTCTAATCTCGTAGGCGTTGGAAACGCGCAGAGCTCGATCCCCTAGTGTGAATTTGTATATTTATATTATTTTGACGTATTTTTGATGCCCTCGCTTGGGAACTTTTTCTAGAAAGATGAGATCTTGATCTTTGGGTATTTTAAAATGATTTTGAACTGGAATTACCACTAAAAATGTGATTGAAGAATTATAAGAAGTACTAAGTCAGTCACTAAGCTGTTTGGATAGTTAAATAATTTTAACAATTAACAATATACTAACAGTTTTAAACTTGTGATATCTTTCGAATGGAATGTCCGAATTTGATAATTCAAAAAGTTATATAAAGATATTGAAACAGTCTTAAATATGAAGTAATTTATTTTTATAAGGATTAATACCAATATACAAATAAAGAGCCTTTTCTAGCGGCGGCATTTCAATCAAAATTTTAAAATAAAAAAACACTTATTGTGGCATAACTATAATAGTTAGACATATGCTGTCGCGACACTTTTTGTAAATAATGATGTGGTCTGCAAAGTCGTAGTACATTATTTTATTCTATCATCAATAGTTTTCGCAGCGCCCGCGATGTAAAGAATATTCTAGGTAATTTTTATACACCTTGAGTAACATTATTAGAGTTTTAGTAAGGATCCCTAATTTTTTTGAGAATATAATATAGCCTATATCAAGCAGGGATAATGTAGCTTCCCAACAGTGAAAGAATTTTTCAAATCGGTTCAGTAGTTTCGGAGCCTATTCAATACATACAAACAATCAAATCTTTCCTCTTTATATAATAGTATAGATATATAGTACCTGGAGGACCGAGCTTTGCTCGGTTTAGTTTCGGAGCCTATTCAATACATACAAACAATCAAATCTTTCCTCTTTATATAATAGTATAGATATATAGTACCTGGAGGACCGAGCTTTGCTCGGTTTTTTTTTTTGGTAAATCGTGTATTTTGGAAATTGCTTTTAGATACAAATTACTGAGTAATGAAATATGCATAATATTTTTCGATCTTACCGACATAATAATAAGAAAATATGAACTGGTGTTTCTCACAAAAGAACTTTAAAAAATAAGGGAAAAAAATAACAAAATAACAAATCCACAAAAAATAAAGAAAGCAATGATCTGGTATCGAAAAAAAAAGTAAAAAATAAGTGTGTAAATGATCGTGATACGAACCGCGGCCGTCTGTTTTGGGGCCGTTTTCTAAAAATGTAACCTAGAGATTTCGATTATAATTTTTTTTTATTTCCAAAATACATGATTTACCAAAAAACCGAGCATAGCTCGGTCCTGCATGTACTTTTCAATAAAATGTGCACATTCTGTGACAGAACCAGTTATGTTTAGATCCACATATTAAGAGGCAAGCCTATTGTTGACTACTAGGTACATGCTACTGAGAATTTTCTGACAAGTTGGGCCAAATGGTTGTGGTTTTTTTTATAAGAATCTTATGCTTATGCTGTGAGACCACCAAGGCAGTTATGAATAATAATATTAAAAATTGTATTAGGATAACTTAACATGGGAATATGAACCTCTTTTAATATTCTCATAACTCATGTGATAAAAACAGTAATGCTGGTATTATGCTAGATATGTGAGATGTGTATGAGACTACTAATTACATTAACCATACAGATGTTATTAGTAGTGCTGAATCCATGATATTGAACATACAGTTGACATAAACATTAAATTAACGACTCTTCTGGTAAAACTAATTTGTAAAACAATATAATCCACACAAAAATATTTTCATAATAAGTAAATAATAAGGTAATTTATATTTATATGTTACAGGTACAAAGAAAGTAAAACTTAAAGCAAAACATTACACAATTAAGAAGTAAAATTAGTAGACTAAGAAAAAGAAGTAAGAATTACAAATAGAAACAGCAAATATCCAGAAAATATATTGAAAACCATATGAAGAAGGCAAGTGTTTTATACAAATATATATTCAAAAATAAGAAACACTAAAATATCCAAAGGGACCGGCTGAAATGATGTTTGGACGATACAACAATCAATATTATTTTGTAAAGTAAAACCGATCGATCAATCTAATTTAATGTGGGAAATAGGTGTAAAAATGTTATTTTAACAATCATAGATATAATAAAAGCAAGGAATAAATAACATTGTTTTACTTTCACGTGTAATTGCTACTTCATACTTAATATACTTTAAGTTCTTCATAATTGAACGATTATATATATAACATAAGTACACAATTTAATGATGAATGCCATACTGATAAGGCATTCATCACGAAATTGTGAACTTATTAAATGTAACTATTATATAAATAAAATATATAGCTACATTAATAGATATACGTATATAAATCATATAGGTATATATAGGTATACACCGAATGTTTCGGAACAAGAAATATAGATGTCGCTAGCCCGCGATGTTGACCAAAATAATAGTATGCGAGATGGCTCTCTATTTCTGTAGTATTACTTTACTCTATGTCCGTAGCGGAGCGAAGGCCGATTGGGTGAAGCGACACTCAGGGGCGACATAGCGAGTGTTCTAGCGAAGCACGTGGGAGAGTCGAACTACAATGAAGTAATAAATTTTGAATATTTCTTATATTTTTTTACATAAAACAACAAAAAAAATTAGAGATGAAGATTGTAAAAGCTTGTAATTTTAATAAATAAAAATCAAAAATATAAGAAATATAAAAAATATGACTTCATTATTAAGTGTGACTCATCCACGTGTTTCGCCAGAACACTCGCTATGTCGCCCCCTATATGTTACATTTTTTTTTTCTATTGTCGCTATATGTTTCAGTATATATGTCTTATCTATGGTCGCCCCTGAGTGTCGCTTCACCCGACCTCCGTCGCGAGGTTCTGGCTCCGCCTTTTTATGTTCCGCCATTTTTAACCTAACTTAATTTACATAAAAATCACGGATAAAACCTATCGGCTTGAGTTAAGTAGTCAAATTCAATTTGTATCAGTTTATATTTCACCATGGTGACGTTAAGTGCTTTTAATAAAATTTGTAATCGAGTTTCGAAATCGATATTAGCATATTGGCTGTTTCATTATTTTTGATGCCTAATTGTATATCAAACTTAAAACCAAAAGTATTTCCCGCTCATTTATATTAAACAAATATGTGTGTGTACCTACATTATTGTATTAAGTCTTATTTTAAAATAAAAAAATATTCCAATCGGAATCAAATCGTTCAGTACTTTTTAATATTTTTGTGATCATAATTCTTATAAAAAAAATGTAATGTTTTAAGTGTGGACAAGACAGTGTTTTACGGAAGGTTTTTAAATGTGAAAATGTTGACAATAGTAAAATGGTGAATTGTCTTAGTAGAAACAACAAGATTTATTGTTTTTTCTCGAAAACTGGAGGTGACTACCGAATTCTACTTGTTGATTAATTCGTAAGTGATGTCCTCTATCATTTAAATTTTTCTTTTGTTTGCTATATAAATATAAAAGTAGTGGGCTGCTAAAATTTTACCACAAAAATTACCGATGAATTGATCTAGGTATTATTATAAGTATGGGGGAAATAAAACACTGAAGGTATTTCTTTTATGAAAAAAAAATTCCGTGGAGGAATTACAATAAAGTCACACACTTGATCACACCTTGTTTAATGCCTACAACGGTGAAGCGAGAAACCTAAGGGCAGATCGACTGAACATTTTAAGGAAAGGTAGAGAGAAAAAAAGGCGTTGATTATAAATATAATAATATTTATTATTTCTCACGAGTCATTTTTCTTTACAAATTAACAAGATTGGTTCCTCAACAGTACTCACACTATTTCACATCTCCACGCTATGTACAACGAATGCGCACTGTACTTTACAACAAAAGAGATCTCGAGGGCCTTTTCTACCGGTCAGCGACACTTATCCTAGCCCCGGGGGGCGCCGGGCCACTAAAACGTGGCGCGCGGCGATCGTATCCATCTAATTAATGAGATTTCCTGCGAAAATGCAAATTTCGCCGTCGCCGCCGCCCTTGGAATTGGCTCCGCCTAGCCCACATCTATCTAACCACACTCTCCTCTTTACATTCCCATTTCATTATTTACAACATACCAACCTGCTATTCGAGACAATACAGACATAATACCCTGTATTCCTTTCGCTCGGGCCAATTCCAATGCAGCGGTGGACTTGCGAAAGTCCCCGCAATCGCGGAGAAGAATACTGCACGGTCGAATCTTGGCAATATGGTTCAAGTCTCGGAATATGACTGTGTCATGGTTAGTTTAACTAGATTGATATAAAAATACAATCATCATAAGAAACGAATAACGAATAACATGTGATCATAAACGATAAATAGGGCAAAAACAAATTAATTTCATAAAAAAAAAATATGATGACATGGAGAACGACAATTGGAAGGGTCGGACACACAATATAAGTCTACAATATAGAATATTTTAATAATTTAATAAATCAAACTTAATACTATAAAAAAAGAAATAAAAAAATTAATTGCATCTGCTTTATAGCGTATTTTAAACTCAATGTTTACACTGTAATAATATACAAGTATAGGTTTTTGCATTGACTATTTGCAGTATTCTTATCCATTCGAGGTTGTTCGCCCGACCAGAAACGAGATCGTCAAAACGAAAGGATCCATACGATATGTACAAGCCGAGCCATCGCCGGCAACGGAGGGCACCTAGGGCAGGTGCTGCTGGAGCTGGTGCTGGTGCTGGTGCAGGTGGTGGTGGTGGTGGGGGGCGCGGCGCAGCCAGGCGCGGAAGCGGGCGCGGCGCGCGGCGTGCAGGCGCGCGTGCGAGGCGCGCGCCGCCGCCAGGCTGCCCGCGCGGTACACCACGTGCGCGCGCGACGCCACCAGCCTGCGGCGAGCGGTGCGGTTACACGCGGTTAGGGTCGGCTCAGGTCGGGGGCCAGAGTTGGCAGAGGCGAGGCGAGGCGAGGCGAGCACCCACCGTATGCCCGCGGCGAGCGTGCACTCCGACTGGTCGTGCAGGCGCGGCGGCTTGCGGCGGCGCACGGGCGCGGCCAGGGCGGGCGCGGCGGGGGGCGGGCGCGGGGGCGGAGGGCGCCGCGCTGGCCGTGACGGCGGCGGCGCCCGCGCGCCGCGCGTTTCGCCGCAGGAAGACGGGCTTGTGGCGCTGCAGCGGCGCCGCCTCGGGGTGCGCGTAGCGCTCCGCGTACAGCGACCAGGCCGCCACGCGCGACACCGGCGCGCCGTTCGCCTCGCGGCCCAGGCCCACTGCGGGCGACAGCCGCCCGCCGTCGACGTTGTGCTGCGGCGAGGCGCGCCCCTCGCCGCCGCCCTCCAGCAGGTCGAAGGTCACCTTGCACTCGTCGCCGCCGTACTGCGTAACGCAACGAGATCGCCGGTGAATATCATCGTCTCCCTCCGATCGTCGGAGGAGGCGCCGCACGGCCGCACTGACCACTCGCACGAGGAAGGCGGTGTGGTCCTGACGCAGGTAGCGCGCGGCGCGGCGCACGTAGGCTGCGCCGGCGCGCATGCCGCGCGCGGCCATCTCCGCGGCGCGCACCGACCACGGCTCGGCGGCGCAGTGCTGCAGCTGGCGCACGGCGATGGAGACCACCTTGTCGAGCGTGTAGAGCGGGTAGGCCTTGATGCCGAGCATCTCGCGCGCCGCGTCCTCGTAGGCGGCCGGCTCCGTGTTGCCGTCCAGCACGGCGCGCACCAGGTCGAGCAGCGCGCCGTAGTAGTGGCGCGGCTCGGCGGCGTCGGGCGGCAGGTTGCAGGGGCGCAGGCGCAGCGCGGCCGCGGCGCCGCCCGCGCGCTCCGCCTCGCCCAGCGCCGCGGCCGCGCGCCGCGCCGCGCCCAGCCGCGCGCACAGCACGCCGTGCAGCCGCAGGAACAGGTACCACGACGACGTGCACACGAACCGCGCCTCCTGCACAGCCCAACCGCACAGTCAACTCGTCGCTCAGCCCTCCCGAATGCTCCACACACTATGGCCGATTCAGTCTCTCACGTTGGGTGGGTACTCCCGGTAGTCGTCCTCCAATTCCTCGGTCTTCACTTCCGGTTCGGATTTCATGCTGAAGGGTTCTTCATTGCTGCTGCTTCTCTTGATGCTCGCATTTGTACCATCTGCACATAATATGTTCCAGTGTAAATAATTTTATATCCACGCAGTTAAAATATATGAACCATGCAGAAAATATAAAATATCACATATTTTACCTTTATTATGCATATTATTATTTTTGGGCTTGTTCTCCTTGTCGTTCTTATTGTTCCGGCTGCTCTTGTCTGAAGCATTATCGGATTCGGAAGACTATGAAAACCAAAGTTAATCTTTGTAGTCTTAGTGTAAATTATATCCTTTTCACATTTACAAATATTAAGTCTCACCTCCTGCTTCTCTTGTTTAACATTGGTGGTAGTTTTATCCTCTTGTTCAGCAGCCGGGCTGCATGGGCTTGTAGGATCTTCTTTTTCTTCTGTGTAAATCAACTTATAATTTAGTATTTAATTTAATATATATGAGAAATATCATAAGACAATGTACGTCAGTAGGAAGGCAGCATGCGTATATTCAACACAGATGATCTGTCAAAAGCACATCGCATGATTTTCATCATTTCAAGATTTGATTTGTCATTTTATAAGACAAATCATTTAATGGAATAAAAAATCTTTTTAGGACACATTTTTTACACATTGCCTAGTCCCAAACTAAGCAAAGCTTGTACTATGAGTACTAGAAAACATAAACATAGTTAAACATATTAATAATGTATAATATGTATTTATAAAAATATGTATAATATGTATTTATTAATATATAAATAAATACATATTATACATATATAAACGCCCAGACACTAGAAAAAAACTATATGATGAACATAAACACAATATTTTTCCTACTAGAAAACTGATAAACATACTTAAACATACTTTTCTTTTGTAAATAAATACATATTATACATATAGAAACACCCAGACACTAGAAAAACACCATGTTCATCACACAATATTTTTCCAGTAGTGGGGATCGAACCCACACCCTCTGGCGCAGGAGGCAGGTACACAACGCACTACGCCCCATTCGGGTCGTCGTATTTATTATTTTTTATTAATTTTAGTTCATCTTCGTTTATCAAACAAGAAATGAGATTTATTTTATATATATATATCTAGATGAAAGATCAATAAAGAAATGATCTGTTGTGATACCATCGTCGCGCTCGTCGTCGGAGAGCGGCTGCCTGGGGTGGGCGAACAGATCCGGCAGGAAGTGGCGCAGCAGCTGCTTGATGCGACGCTTCTCCGCCTTTTGGATGCCGGTCTGCCGCCTCGCATGGTGGATCAGTAGCTCCGAAGCGTCCCGCAGGATCTTAATGGCTGCACGCGAAAAAAAAACAAAAACGTGCCTTCAATAAAAGACCCATGCAAATGATGCAAACAATTTATTAAAAGACAGTCAGTAGGAAGGCAGCATGCGTGTAATCAACAAGGACATTCTGTAAAAACACATCGCATGGTTTCATCACGGAGGAGTAGTGAGAATAATGAGAGTAGCGAGAGCGGCTAGGGCGGCGGGCGCATTACCTTCGTGGCGTGAGTGCAGCTGGTAGTCGACGACGAGGTGCGGGGCGGGTCGACGCGCCGCGTAGGCCGCCTCCACTTCGTTGAACAGCGACTTTGAGCGCATCGCCTTCAGGTCGCTCTGCTTGAAGTTAATGCCTTGGTGGTCCAATGATTTCAGATAGTACTTCTCGTTTTGCTCACGCCACTGCTTATTGAAACCCTGGTAATGGATCCCAATAAATTTCATAAATAACTTGCACATCAAGCCTCGATAAAAATTTGTAGGTCCTGCTCTATATATCTCCTTATGCGAATTTTACATAAATATTTGTCAGAAATATAATTTTTCACCTTCTGCGCTTCCCGCCACTCCTCTTCTTTGGCTTTGAGCCGCCTCAATACCACAGGCACGGCCACCACAGGGTTCTTTTTGAGACCAGCAATGATGTCCACTGCCTACAATGGGTACACAAAATTATTATTTAATTTATACACTTTGTATTAGAATTTTTACTACCATGCCATCTAACTACAAATCATTTACTATCTAATGACATTAATTTGCCAAGGTAGATATGGGTACTATAACTAGAATATAGCGAATTAAAAAGAAAAATAAATTACATCTATCTTCTATAACACATGTACCATAAAACTACAATTATATACAAAGTACTCTACAAATTATAGACTACAAAAAATAATGTAAAGTAAAAATTAATGAAATAATAGATGATAAAATTTCATATTCATAGGGATGAGATTTTCGATGGGAAAAGGCGGCAGGAAAAGAAGCAGGTGGTTTAATTGAAGTAAGTGCCCATGGAAACTTAAAATATTTCAGAAAAGATTGGGAGACAAGAGAGGACACTTGTGTCATAATCATGTAAAGTCTATAAAAAAAGGTTATAGATAGAAAAGCGCTGATGGCCGGTCCCGTCGGCATGCGTATGCGTGTGCGTGTGCATGTGTGTGTGTGTGTGTGCGTGCATGCGTAGAGCGGTCGTCGCCGTACCACCTTATCACCGTAAATGCGGCGCAGCGCGCGCTGGTGGATGGTGGGCGAGTGGCCGCCGAGGCAGTCGTCGAGCCGGTACTTGGCCGCCTCCTCGGCCGACATGCGCGAAAGCTTCTTCTGCACGCCCTCCAGCACGCGGATCGTCGCCGCGTTCGTCTCTATCACCACGTCCAGCTGCGGTCCACATTTTTCATCTTAAACATTACAACAGACATTGAAAAATTTAGTTATTAAAACGAGAAAAACGCGTAAACACACCTCAAATCTCTCATCTTCGCATCTATAGATATATTCTTCATACTGGGTTTTGCGAGATGTGACAAACGTAGAGTCTTCGCTCCATGTTGGTATAGAAACCCAAGTATCATTCAGCACCTAAAACAGACATGTTTCGTACAATAACAATTAGCACATTTTTACAGTAAACAGTTTGTGGGGAAAGAAGTAAGATACAAGCAGACATCAGTAGGAAGGCAGCATGCGTGTGTTCAACACAGTGAATCTGTCAATAGCACATCGCAAGGTTTTCATCATTGTCTCAAACTAGTCAAAAAAGTAATGCGTAAAAATGGATATGACGCATAGTTGCGTATCTACCTCTTTACAGAGTGGCGTCCGGCCAGAGCATCGGCGAGACGCAGCTTCGCGCGGAAGTGCACAGTACGACGTGCCCAGTCGCTTGCATGTTGTTAGGTCTATAAAATAAAGGGGAAAAATCCATAACTTTAAAGTCCCTATCAGACGTTAGAAATAGGAAGAATGAGAAAAATCTTTCTAAAATAATCTGAAGCTAAATACTGAAATGTTGAATAATGGCAGTCCGTACCAATGTCCATGGCGGCGTCGCCTTGTGTGCGCTCGTTGCGCAGCTGCGCGGGCTCGTAGCGCAGCTTGGCGTCCACGAGGCGGTCGCGCGCGTAGCCCAGCAGCGGGCCCCCCCCGCCCCCGCCCACCGGCACCGCCCCCGCCGCCAAGCCTGCCGGTTCGAGCCTCCATATAATATACAACCACCGAGCTAACGCCGGCTGACATACCTAGCCGAAAGGATTAATCATTCAATGTCATCAATCTATGGGGCAATAGTTACCGCTGTGATGGGTGGCGGTTGTGGGCGTGTGGGGCGGAGAAGGCGGGCCCACGAAATCCTGGAGCCATTTTTGCAGCTCGGGGTGCCGGCATAGGAACGGGCCAGTCACCGACAGCAGCTCCGACGAGGAAATGATCTCGTTCGTGAAGAGCAACAGACACCTGGCGGAAAGTCGGAAACGATGACGGTATTGGTCGGGTAATGGTCGGGTAATAGTCGGGCATCGCTCGGCAATCGTTCGGGGTACCTGAGGAAGTTGTCGTAGACGTGCGGCGAACGCAGCGCCTTGCGCGCGCGGTCGAAGAAGCTGTAGTCCTGCGCCGTGGCCAGCTTGGCGGCCTCCGCGTAGGAGACGTCGCGCAGCGCGGCCGGCGGCGCGGCGCCCGGCGCGCCCGGCGGCGTGCCCGCGCCCGGCCCCGCGCGCGCCTTCTTCGCCGGCGGCGCCCCGCCCGCTGCGCCCGCTCCGCCCGCTGCGGCCCACGGGGCGTCAGCGATGCTGCGACTCGTATCCGATAGCATTCGCTCGCGTGGGGACTCACCCATTTGGCCGGACGAGGTGAAGCTAGGCGACCTCTTCAGGTGATGATGCTGCGGCGGCGGCGCCGGTACGCCAACCGCGGTGGAGTGCTTCGGCACCTGCGCGGCACAATTGGAGCGTAAGAGATAATATCAATGAAATTAGTCTGTTGCCGATTCGATCGTATGTACCGGCGCGTGGTGGACGGCGTGCGTGGGCGCGTGCGGCGGGTGGGCCGCGTGCGCGGCGTGGGGCGCAGGCGGCGCGTGGGGCACGTGGGGCGCGTGGGGCGCGTGCGGCGGCGAGACCGTGCCAGCATACCGCTCGCCCTCCACTTGCTACCCGAAAAATAATAAATTAACATTGAAATCCACATTCTCAGATTTATATATAAATATTTCTATACCTCAGAGGCATACAATAGTATCTCAACATTTTTCAAAATCATTTTTCTTACACCATTAAAATCGCAAGAACAAATTCTACGCAAAAGTATAAAGCATTCAGTCTTACAACACCTAATTAATTAAATATACAATTGTATAGGAACTCATAATCAATAATGCATTCAAAGATTCATCCTGTTTACCTCTGAGGTACACATACGTTGTATCCAGAGACTAATGAAATAACAGGTGAACTATTGTATAAGCTACCGAATGAAAATTCCTAATTATTCATAAAAGTTTTTATACATTAATTATAATATCAAAATCATGTCTAGATTCTAAAAATCTACATAGTATAAAAAATTACCCATCATATCCAAAAAAGTTTTTTTATCATAAATGTCATATTGTTACAGTTGTAGCAATACTGTTTCTTTTAAGTGCTGATTTTAAATTAATAACTTCGTTTAACATAACTTTAATCATCCCATAATCATCATCTCATATTGTTATTTAAGTATATAATGTTAGTATGATTTACCCAAAATCTCTTAGAATACAAACTGTTGTTCCTCTATACCATCTGTTAAAGTTTTTTGTTGCAAGAGTAATAATACAAGATGTCAAAAATGTAATATTACAACCATTAAATTCATTACATGTGATATGGCAACACAAGAAATTTATAAATTTGAGGTAAACAGTATCTACACAGACGCCGTTGTGCAGCGTAATGGCGGACAATCGGCTTACTGTAATGTAAATGTTTAACTGTCGATGTATGTGTCGCGCGGAGTCCTGTTATTTTACTAGTCCGTAATTGTATCATACCTGCTGCATAGGTGGCGGAGAGCGCGAATGCGTTGCGTAGTGAGGCGGTTTAGTTACGGCCTTCGCATCCGGCAAGAACTGCCCGAACTCTGCCAGCAGATCTTCCTGATTCTCAAACAGTTTTGCCACCTGTTCGTGAATAGTGTAAAGAATAACTGGTACTGTAAATACTGAAATTGTATTTCGGTATAACAATAATCTAGGTGACCATCAAATACCTGTGAGTAAACTTCCTGTTCGGTCTGCTGCCTCGCCTGCGGTTCTTTAACGTCTCGATGGCCACGCTGATACGCATGCAATATTTCCAAGAACCGCTTGTATTTGTCCGGTTGCCGCGAAAAGCGAGACTGCACAAATAGAGAGAACACGTGAAATGTACGATGAACTCAAGTGTGAGCGGCGAGCGAACGACCAAACGAGCGACGAGATGAGATGAGGCACCTTGATCTTGTTGACGTACTCGATGGCGTGGTTGAACTCGACGGGCTGGCCGGCGGCGGCCGCGTGCGCCGCGCCCGCCCCCGCCCCCGCGGCCCCGCCCGCCCCCGCGCCCGCCGCGCCTGCGCACAGAGTGGTTAGGGCGCGCGCTCCGCCGCAGCGGCTGCCGCCCAGAATGCCCAGAATGCCCAGCCCGCCCGGGGACGCACCTGGCGCGTGCTGCACCGCCGCCGCCTCGATCTGCTGGTGCGCCTGCGAGATGTGGTGCAGCGTGTTCGCCGGCGGCGCGCTCACCGACAGGTTGTGCACGATGGCGCCGCCCACCGACCTGCGACAGACCCAACCACCGTTCGCCTCACGGACTGCTCGCACGCGCACGCGCACCGCCAGTGCACACGCACTTCCCTTTCAGAACTTAAAAAGCAGCCATTATTCTTATCACTGCCATCAAACGGTAATTTGTTTCATCATTTCTATGCTAATACCGAATCCACAGTTATATTTTGTCAAATTCCAATTCTTGCACCATACCAGATTGGTATTTGTATCAGACTAAAAAATATCTATAATATAGGATAATTAATCTATTTGAAAAACATTTTATTGATCAAGCGTTTATTTCTAAGTTGGGTTGAGTTAGTAGTCCATACGTATGCGAGACGAGTACTGACTGCTGTACAGGCAGCAAATGCAGCATCTGGGGTTGCGGGGGCGCGTGCTGCACGCCCAGCATGACGCCGCCGCCCACGCCTCCCACGTTGCCCACTCCGCCTACGTTGCCCACACCGCCGACGGTGCCCACTCCTCCCACTCCGCCCATGCCTCCTACACCACCCACGCTCCCGACGCCGCCCACACCACCGACGCTCGTCGGCGATGGCATGGATACGGACACCTGCGTGCAATGACGCTTATAATAACGCAATATACTACACATAGTGTATAAACAAAGAACGCAATGAACTCATCAAAGCAATTAAGGAATCAATAAAAAACAATGTAACAATATGGTCACTTACAATAAATTTTTATGAAATTCATGTTATAAGGATTGGATATAATAATAGAAATTAATTGTCCAAAAACATTTGCTAAAAATGTGTATTTTAATTTTTTTTTATAGATATAATCCTTTTAAAAAGCTTGTTTATTAATATGATGTATGATCCTATTGCAGATGTCGTTTACAAAAGTCAGATAAAAATTTTGCAGCCATTGAATATCGTCACAGTGATCAAACGGTAATTTTTTTCATCATCTCTCATGTAAACTACAAGAGCTTTCAATGGATCATATGAAGGAATGAACAAAATCAAATAAGGAAGGCATACCTGGCCATTGCTCTGAACCTCGATCTTGTAGCCAGGTGGAAGAAAGGTGTTGAAGCCAACTATAAGCTCAGGGTGACCTTTGAACAGGTTTGATACTCTCTTGATGACTCCCGGCGTGTCGATACTAGAATAATTGGTACTGTTAAACAAAGAGGTACGGGTAATCTGGGAAATCCATACAGCGATACAACATCAGATAAAGTAAATGCAGCCATGAATTATCGTCACAGAAATCAAACGGTAATTTGTTTCATCACGAAAAAATTACACAAACAGAATATATGAGCCTAATTAGAGGTCTGATCAGCTTTATGGATGATGAAGGAGGCGGCTCTTTTAAACAGTAACATAGAACTAAGGCAAATTGGCATCGTCGCCTGCGTGTTTACACATATAGGGACAGTCTGCTCTACTTAAAAATATGCGTTTCATAAGCGTCTTTAGAGAGAACTTGAAGAGCATTCATGAGAGAAACAATGTTGGACTATGGCTGATAACGTGCAGTTGAATTATATTTAACATTGAACCATAAAACATTATTTGCTGTGTGTCACTTACTGGTCCCCTCTGCTGGCATTAAATTTGTATAAAACATGATTTATCATAATATTAAACAAATTCAACAAAAACAAAGGTCCTGTCAATATTTATACTCTATGTAGACAAGCAGTAAATGGTTTAATCATACAATGATTAAACCATTTACTGCCTTGTCAGTAAATATAGTCAGTAAAATATATATCATAGATAATAATAAACGGTTGGAGAAGTAGTATATTTAACTGAATTCGTACAATACAATAATTACGACCGTATAGTTCGTAATCGTAGGTCTGAAATCATATAATATATGATTTATAATAAATCATACAATATATTATTTCCGCGAGAGATATGTGACATATGATACGTGTAAAGGAACTAACATTTGTTGGGACTTACGTCTGGCTCTTGAATTCCTTCATGATGTCTAGGAAGTCGTTGTAGACCTGCGGCTGCGTGTTGAACTTGTACTTGACCTGGTCGAGGTAGGAGAGTGCGTCCTCCACCTTGAGTCGCTGGAACTGGGCGGCTGGGGGCCCACCGGGGCCAGCCGGCGCGCCCCCCACGGTCCCCGCCACGCCACCCATGGGGCCCATCCCGCCCACGCCCACCCCGGGGCCCAGGCCACCGCCCACCCCGCCCACAGCGCCAGGGGACTGTCGTTCCATCGCCGGAGGCGCGTGGGTGAGCTGTCCACAAAGGTCCCTCGTCAACCCCCTTAGAAGCACACGAAATAAGGTCCCCCGCAAAAGATAAGTTAATAATTAAAAGAAGTCAGATAAGAAATTGCAGCCATTGATTATCGTCACAGCGTAGTAAAACGGTAATTTCCTTCATCATTCTTCGGTCGCGCGACGACAGTATTAGCTTCTTGAGCCGGATGACCAACTCCGTGGCTTAGTTGCCAAGGAGGGTTATTGGACTCTGAACCGGGGGTCGTGGGTTCACACGCGACAACTGGCTATTAATTGTCCACGTGGAATTTATGTATGTGACACGTCCATACCACACACGTGATTTTATTATAAGGGGCAATGTTTTTGAGGGAAAGTCTACAATAGATCTTCTAAGTCACGGCGGTCGTCGGGACTTACTAACCAACCCTTTCCACGCAAAATATGAATAGAAATTATAATGAAATACCTTGAGGCGCGGCGGCTGCGCGGGCGGCGGCTTGTGTGCGGCGTACTGCACGCCCGCCTTCAGGTGGTAGTTGATGACGGGCGCGGCGGGGCGCGGGGCGCGCGCGAATGCGCCCACCGACACCATGCCGCCCACGCCCACGCCTCCCACCGTGCCCACATTGCCCACGCCACCGGAAGTAGACACACCTAAGCACGGGGATCGCGATTCCGTTAAATAGATTCCTAATTAAAACCGTGAAGTCCGTTAGTAAATGTAAGACGTACTCAGTTTGCAATTATTGTATACAGTTTGTTTTTATTGGATACATAAATAGTTTTGGGGTTATGGCTTCGAAGTTTACTTTATATTGGTTTAAATAAACACATAATACAGTGTGGGCATTTCGCGTTTTGATATTCTTCATTGCTATAAAAATAGTTATATAAATATGGTACAAATAAAATAATTCACTTATTTTATGAGAAAATAGAAAAACAAACGATCATCTGATAAAGTGACCTCTGTCACCTTGAACATTCGCAACATATCCATACTTAATATTATAACTGCAAAAGTTACTCTGTCTGTCTGTCTCACTTTCACTCCAAAAATACTGAACCGATTTAAATGAAATTTGGTACACAGATAGTCTAGAGCCTGAGAAAGGTCATAGGCTATTTTTTAATTGGAAAAAAGGGCTGAAAGATATTTAATTAAAGGCTTCAACGCGAGCGAAGCCTAAAGCGAAAAGCTAGTAAAGAATAAATATGCATTGTCAGGCTTCAATTCCTCTGAGTGCTCACAGTTTTAAAGGTGACAAAAATGAAGAGACAATTTCTACAGTGCCAAACGAACGAGACGGCTGGGGATAGCTAGGTCCTAAGAGATTGCAATTAAGCCAAAGGAACTGGTATTGGGATGCCTTATCCCATGAAATTACCACAGCAATGTCCAAACCTAACCTTTGCAGTTGCAAGAGATGGGTCCGATAGATAATTATTGTCTTGTTCTACAGAGGACCATATCCGAGACACAGATCAGATTTGTTGACGCCTCGATCGATGCTCGATACGTCCACGCAGATATATATATGTATAGAACCTGTTGCAGCAACATGGAGACGATATTAAAAAAAGGAAATCAAACAATGTTTCCTTTTAGCTGTAAACACGCAAACTTTGTGTTTCAGGAACTTTAAATTCTTATTGTTAAAATGTTATTTTAATTTTTCATACAAAATATCGTAATATCCATGTAAACACACAAATTGGATAGTTGCAAAAACTTCTCCTATACATATATAGTTTTAGAATATAATATTAAAGTTATCGCAATTCAATATTACACGTATGACTGATTCAGAAAAATAGATCATATTTTCTCCAAAGAAAAATTTCTGGGAGGTGAAATATGGTGTCGTTTAAATGCTAAAATTATGTTAGATCTAACATTAATATTTAGAGGTTGCGCATTGCTTCTATTTCCCATTTATAATATAATGAGTTTTATAGCTAGTCAACGAATTTGCTTATAATAAGGTGGTAGGTGCATCCGATACAGATAATGATGTAGCGCCGATACACTGTTCAAATTACACGCTTCAACAAAGTATTTTATTTCTGCGAGCGGATTTTTCGTCTCTTTCACTGCAAGAGAAGTACAATCTGTCCTCCTAGGGAAACCCAGCGCTTTATTAGGATAAGCCTGGCGTAGTAATTTTTATTTGTGAAATAAAATAAAGTTTATGTATATATCGTAATAACACAAAAGTTATATAGATATTGATTTTGAAATTTCGAAAGCCTTGTTTGTATCGTAAAAAAGTGTCTCGAGCATCACATTCTAAAGTGTTAAGGCATCAAACTCGCGGATTCATACAAAAAGGTAACTACTTAGAGGTACTAATTAAAGGTCATTCGTGCAGGCTCGTCTGGGCGGCAAGTATCACGGGCTCACGGAAGACCATCGGGAAGTGGCAGTATAATACTTTCACGTTCCGTCCAGTAATCGAGGTGTCCGGGGCCCGCCAATTAAAGGCTGTCAACGCAACGCCAGGCCTCAGGTGCTGGCAGGTGTGCCCTTGGGCGGTGGTAATCACTTCACATCAGGTGGACCGCTTGATAGATAGTTGCATATTTTTGTACAGAATTGAACGATCGACAAAAAAAGATGGAGTTTTAATTTATTGAAGCTTTAATAATTATAGCAGTCTTGTTGACATCAGTCAGTCTTCTTTAGAATCATTTTAGTGGAGTATTTCGTCGTTATAAGTTCAATTCCATCATATTTCAATTGATGATCATTTCTGCGAGAATACGTCGAATTATTTCTCATGATTATAATATACGGAAAGAAGCTTTTCGGGATAGAAGCACCTTCTCTGCTAAGACTAATCAAAGGTTTGTAAAAAAAAAAGTAGTACAGTAACAAACGACTATACATATCCCACTGCTGGCAAAGACTGAGGGTATTACATGAACTGATTGGACGAAATATTTATTGTCATTATTTCGAAAATATGCAGGTTTCGTCATGATTTTTTTCTTCACCGCTGAGCACTACCACGTGCACAAAAAATAAAAATTCTCCGTTTTCATTGTTGCCGGCACCGGGGATCGCACTCAGGTTGCTACATACAGTGCATTAAACTAAAGGCGAGCACCCGAACACTCTCGGCTCTTAAAAGGCTTTGGCTTTCATGAAATTCCCCTAGCTCACAATTTTTCAATAAGCACTGAGCAGCATCAGCTGAAAGACCCCTGGAACTTATATAGCTCATGTTCCTCTAAAATAAAAACTCTTCAAATTGGTAAAAATTTTGAACTATGGATAAGTAAAAAAAGAAAAGAAATGTTATACGAACGTTGTGAATGATTTTATTTCTAAAAGGCCTTTAAATTGTTTATAATACAATATAATATAAAAAAGAAACGCATATTAAAACTATAAATAATGAAATAAATAGTTACGAATAGTTAAATTATGGATTAAGATGGATATTTACATTATGGTTATAATAGAAACATTTTCCTTTGCTACGCGGCTAAAGAATATTTCTAAGACTATTCATTTTCGCGTTGTGCATAGAAAAATTCGCTAAACAACAAACTAAAATATATAAACATCGGTGCGCCGCCTACAAGGTATTAGCTAGCGGTTGCGATGCTATAGGGGCAGTAGAGGGGCAGCGGCCGCTATCGATTTTGCGTCGTGCGCTGCACAAGTGTACACGTACAGGCCGCGTCACCGCCCTTGGGCTAGGTTAGGGCCAGCGCTCTCGTCGCTTACATAGTTGCCTCCTTTAAATAAATGGCCCACACATTTGGCGCCACTCTCAATAATTATATTATAGCAGCTCTTCATGGACGACAGCGATTTAGACCCCGAGGTGTCATCCACCTTGTAAATGATGACAGATCATAAACGGTCTGCATTCTAGCAGTTACGCTATTTGGCATATTACTTATAATATAAATGACCATTTTGGTTTACGCGAAAACTAGCTTTGTTATAATGTATGCAAAATGAAATCCTGCAGCGTAGATGTTATTATTGTACTTAGATTTATTATTGTTCATAATTAAAAGAAATAAAAAGGTACGTCGTGCACTCCCCGGGATAGCGAGATATATTTATTTGTAAGCGGTTCACCTGGTGTTAATTGACTACCTTGGACAACTTCAACACCTGAAGGGTTGCAGATGCGTCATCCTAATTCAACTAAATCTTATTTCAAGATCACTGATGAAGTTGATAATAATGCAGAACATAATTATAAACACCTGGTGGCTCATCTTTCTGTGGACGTTCTCTGCTGAACCAGATAGATGACCTTATTGTGTGAGAGAATAAATCAGCGGTGCAACAAACAACATATTGAAGTTGAAAAAATAATTACCCTCATGGCAGGAATTCGTTTTCATTGCATATTATATTATGATGACATTGTTATAAATGTAAAAGCCGATTGCTATTCTAATTGAAATAATTGCTCCAAATTGATATCATTTTGTAAGATTTTTTTTATTTGCTTGAGCATAATAATAAAGATTCGAGACACTTGTAAAAGCCCCGACAGAAAAATGATTCATAAATAAATAAACAAAACATTTTTTTTACTACAGATACGACATATTGAATTTATTTTAGGTATTAAGGAATAAAAACGCAGAATGACTAACATGAAAGTGTTCTTGACGTAGCTTGTGTATAATTGGGTCAATTTAATTTTAAATCTAGTTAGAGTAACTATTCAATATTATTTTTAAGGACTTAAAAACATTCTCTCTGTCTATAATTTATTTCTAGGCACCGAAAATAAAAAACATTCAAGTAATGTTTTCAATATATTTGCGGAGCGAGAGAGAGGGAGGGAGAGAGAGGGAGGGAGAGAGAAGGAGGGAGAGAGAGAAGGAGGGAGAAGGAGAGGGAGGGAGAGGGAGGGAGAGGGAGAGGGAGGGAGGGAGAGAGGGAGAGAGAGGAGAGAGGAGAGGAGAGAAAGGGAGAGAGAGAGAGAGAAGAGACTCAGAGAGAGAGGTAGTGAGAGACGGAGAGAGGGAGGGTGGGGGGGGGGGGGGGAGGGAGGGAGAAATTGACTAAACTCACCGATAATCTGCGGCTGGGCGGATTGCGCGAGAGTGTGCATGTTTGCTGCTCCTTGCTGTTGCTGGATCTGCTGCAACAACAACGGACGTTGACTAAGGATCTGAACACGGCACATGGTTGTGTTTTTATGTAATGCTAAATTGTTTATTTTGTTTATCACGTAACTGGACCGCAGTTCGTTGAACATAAATGGCACCCATTGGTGTTGTGCGAACATTTGCGGCACGCCGCTGCCCGGTGCAGGGGCATACGGCGCTTCCAACGTTCCCTTCCATACTATATCCCCCTGTACGCAGTTGTCGGGCCCATGGCAAGCCAGCAACGGGATAGGGGGATGTCTTTAAGCGGAACATTCAAAAGCGATGACTGATTCATTTTAAACAGATTACTAAAAAGCGAGCGGTTCCTATATGAAGTCCTATAAGTTTGAGCAATAAATGTTTTCTTTCTTTCTATAACTAACTTGTTCATATCCAAAATGCCAAGTGCCTTTTCTGCACAGGGAACAGAGGAATAAATCGTATCTCGTTTTGCACATTCGAAGGCTTTTTCCATATCAAACTTTATATACCGTGCACTTCTTATCAAAGCACTCATTCGCCTAAAGTTAAAATCATGTGATCGCCTGTAAATAATATGATTTATGAAAGACCTACTGTGTTAGGTACAAAGTATTAAAACATTTATTGCTCATGTCAACTATGTGCCATTTACACTAACAGCTTCTTGGAACAGTCAGCGCTTAACTGCAGCTGGGTCGATGCACGTTTTCTCTTTCAAGTTCTTCCTGGTCGTTGTGAGCGACAAGAATTGAAAGGAAAATATATATTTTTGGTAGACTTCACAAAACCAATTATTAAGGTGATCGCCGCCGTATCTTATGCATCGGCAAGGTCTCAGATAGAAGAAATAAGATAAATGTGTCAACAGAGGACGCTGCGCTGGTTCTTGCCATCTTTGCTATCTTGATACTGATATCGAATTGACATTTAGTTGCTAGAGCGATACAAATAATTAATCGGTTGGTCATTTATCACAATCGGTAACAACATGGCCCAGGTGCCGATATGTCGCAAGCTCTCGAGTTGTCCAACCAAATATATACTATAAAGGCCCATTTACACGGTGCCAGTTTCTTGCCTGTTGTATACAATTAAATTGAAGCAATAAATGAGTTGCATGGTCTAAACAAGAAATGGTCTAAACAATTATTGCGCGCAATTTATTGCATTCAATTATTGCTCTTGTATGTTCAAGAAAATGGCATCGTGTAAATGGGCCTTAAGTATCTGGAGGAGCTTTGCTCGGTTTTGTTTTTTTTTTTTTTTTGGTAAATCTTGTATTTTGGAAATTACATAATATTTAATATTTTTGAGCTTGGAAATTATGCATATAACTATGAAATTGAAAGTGAGTGAACAATGCAATTATAGTATAGATATACATATAACATAAGTGCGCGTGGGCGTGCACCGGCCACGGCCGCTTCGCGCCGAATGCGCCTGAGCAGTGGAGCTTGCGCCTATTATTAGCGGCCACCACGAGCCGCGCACCACGCGCATCGAAATAACGTTATTCGTACGCACGTGAGTCGGCCGGCGTCCCCGTCAAATTTCACATCGCCGTGTAAAAATAATTGTGCTGCTCACAACACGTGGCCCATACGGTCCCTCAGAAGCCGGCGAAACTGATGTAGTCTCCGGGGGCACGAGTCGAGAGCGAGTCGGTGCATGCGTGCATGCGTGCGTGCGTGCGTGCGTGCTCCAACTGCCAGGCGGCTTGTTTACTCGCGCACCTTGCGCAGAGCGATAAGCGCGATAACCCGTCGCCCCCGTATATTGAGCTATTGGTGCGCTCTTTATCGCTCCCTCCCAGGCCGCTTCCTTCTCGCGACTAAATAAAGGCGCCGCCGAACGCATCTCTTCGGATATGGCCGGCCGATGCAAAATGGAAGCGTACGCATAATTTGTCAAAAACATGTTCGGTATTTGGGCGTCACATTCAACCGGCCCCGTGACCGTAGTTGGCCCGTATTACTTATAAAAACAAAGCGGCGCGTGAGCGCGAACCGACCGACCGTCCGAGGCCGCGCGTCTCGGGCACAACAAAGAGCGACGGCAAAGTTGAATCATTCGAGGTTCAACGAGCACAAGGTGAGGCGGCCTCTAATACCTCCCTCCTCTTGCGATTGAACACTTTTTGGCATGGCGAGAGATTTTGACGTCGCCTCGCAAAATAATATCTTTTATCATCGTCAGATACGCTTAATCGTCTACTCTGCGATACTTCTACGTGTGGTAAGTAGGCTCGAGCTCATTTATAATCTCGGACGCAAACAGTAGCTTAATAGTAATGGTATATGCTATTTTGGTAAGCGACCGAGAGACTTCCGATCTAGTGGGTGGGGTGATTTTGAAGTATTCCCTAAACATATTTATGAAACTAAAATGGGTCACATGGAAAAGGAACCCAACCCAAAAAGCTATTTTTTAAAATCGGTTCATAGTTTAGATAGTTCAGAGATCACAAACAAAAAAAAATACAACCTATACGGAACCTCATCCTCCTTTTTGCAGTCTGTTGAAAATAGAGTTAGAGGAGCAAACACTTGAGACCCAAGCTGTATAAAGGGCTGGTGCTACAGACTGAAAACGTCATTTAACACCATGTTTCAAGAATCTTAACCATATAAGAGATTTGGGTTGGCGCGGTGGGTTTCATTATTTCTTTAGTTTTTATTATAGCCTTTATTATTTAATTTGTATTTATTAAGTATGATTCATATTTAAAAGTGTGTATCAGTCAGTGGCTACGCAACGCTGACTACACGCCCGCTATTTGGTAATTTTCTTTGGTTGTATTATTTTTCAACTGCACAGTAAAAACTTGCAACACCCACTGCACTAGACTGGTAGATTAAAGGAATGGGTCAAAGGGTTTGTTTAGTTTTGTTAGGCAAGGCTAACCAAGGCTAACCAACCCTTCGGAAATCACTCAAACTGCAGAGTGATTTCCGAAGGGTTGGTTAGCTTTCGTTGCCAAACAAGGCCGAACAATCTCATGGCAAATTTAGCAAAGTAAGCCGAAACAGCTGTTTATCATCAAGCACCGGCACAGAGGGCACACTCAGGATACAAACCTTAAAATAATGCTGCCGAGTTTATAATATCATTCTGACATTTTACATGTGTCCAATAATAAGAAATCAATTTCTCGTGGATAGCACGGCACGAGGGTTAAAGGCTGGAGACATCGCTTGGCATCCAATGACCCGTATCGTGTCAAAATAGTTCTTTATTCATTGTAGGCTTATTTAAAGCTAGTATTCAACGTAACAACTATAATCAGTTCACTGAATTAGACCTATCCAACCAGAGAAGACCCGGCAAGAAACTGCGGTCTTATTATTTAATTTTTTTTATATGTTTGCAAAATTATTAGTAAATAAATCAGTAGGATTTCTACAAATCCTTGTCCTCAATATATTCTTCGACATTGTAATAAGTTCTTTCCATTAAGGTGGCTTTTATAAATTGTTTTCGTGTATTTTGGTACTATAGTGTCGAATGCAACCGTTGTGGTCATATAATTAAGAACGTTTAAATCATTGAGAATTTTTTTTATCTCAATCACGTTATGTGCAGTTCTGTGTTCCTACTCAGAAGTAACTAATTGTGCTATGAGATAGCCACATGAATAGAGAAAACTGAATTAGTACAGTAGAATTAAATCGCGAACTATTTTTTTTTACAAATAGTATTCATTCTCTATAGCAAATTTTGCAAATATATAATAATGTTAATATTATTAAATTATATCATTTAAAAAGAAAAATATTTTTTGGCATTAGCCAACATTAAAACTAAAAAAAGATCAAGATTGTTAAATGTAGAAGACGATATGAGAGTAGCATTGTCATTTTTACGACCAAATATAAATGAAATTATTAAAAAACATCAAGCTCAAATTTCGCATTAAAAATATTTTTATTATTAGCTTGTAATTAATCCCTTAATAAACGTTTAGTTATTATTGTAGTATATATTAGTTTATTTCGTATATTTAAAATTTTTTGTCATAAACTATTTATGCAGTGTGTTGTAGTAAGTAAATAATTTTTATCTTCTTCTTTGTGTGCAGCCAAATTTTGAAATCGTTAAATATGTGCCGCAACAAAAAAAAGGTTGAGAATCACTGCTCTATAGAAACAAATAGTAGTAATAAAGCTGGCCAAATAAACGGTTTAAACTTCTCGAGAGTTGTATTTTTTAAAACTAAAATCAAATAAATCAGATTAATGTGAAATGCGTAAAGATAAAAAGCAATTCAATACTTAGTATGTATGTACGTGTCCACGGCTTTACACCTGCGAGGCATGGACTCGCATCATCTTTTGACATTTCACGGTGAGATTAAGCTCAATTGTCCCAAGAAAACGGCGCGTGCGTATGCCTTGGGTTATTGTTGTGCTGGAATTTCCAAATAACCAGAAACACGTCTTCACCCATAAGGTAAGATTGTTTCTTTCAGTATATTTTTGTACTGGAATTGAGCCATGTTTTCCTTCTGTCAGTTTAACAGGTCCGACACAGAACCAGACACCAGAAAAGAAGCCCAACCTTTTACATTTTCCCCACAATACTTTAATGTCACTTTTATGTGCTTAGGGTCGAACATTGTCGTAGTCGTCTTCTCAGATCTCATCTCAACATGCCCTATACATATTCTTGTCTCGTCATAAAATGGACATTTTTCCAAGTGTCCAGTTATAACACCTTCTAGCAAATGCAAGGTCTTGCTTATGGCACCGTTCAACATGAGCGTCTTCCTAGTTATCCTTCCGTGCAACTTTTCTTCTACCTTGCCTTCGATTAGTTCGTGCTGAGACTGCTGATGGGCTGTTTTCACCAAAATATTCTTTTCTCAGCTCAAGAGGCTCTTTAAAGTGATTTTGTTCTGCCAAACGAACGATTTTTCGGTCATTTCAACAAGAAAACTTTCTTTGTTTAGGTACACGCGGAACATTCAGAGTTTTTTGATATGCGGCAAAATACTTCATAATATGGGAAACCGTTTTTGAGCACAGCAGACGCTCGGGAAGTTTTATTATTATTTCCCTTGCAGATTTATCACAACAAAGAAGCAATTGCCTTTAAGATTTTTTACAGCACTAAATGGCACCAGAATTATAAGAATCACCAAGACCTACAACCACAGCGCCACGCTATTTAAATTAAAAATAAACTATTCAGCGTTCTTAATTATGTGACCAGCCAGTAAGAAGTAGTAATACTAAATTAGATATAAAGTATAAAGTTTATCTATTTATTTTTTAGTCAATCATGAGTATCAACGAATACCGCTAGTTTGGTAAGTTTTGCGATACCGAGAAAAGACAAATAAATACATGCCATTAGTTCTTTGCTTGAAAATATCTTTCCTATAAATAAGCGTTCTTCGAATTCTTAATTATCTGACCACCAATGTACAATAAAGGAAACTGATATTGCAAAAATCGTTAAATTTATATTGCTTAGGGACACTTTTTGCAAGAATATCGTAAGTTTCCTATTTTAATAAACATTATTTAAATCTATCAAAACGGCTACGATTTAAGAATCCCAAAAAATAATTACATTTCCTGTAACGTATAGAAATATTTTCAAATTAACACCTAGGTTTGCCTGACTACTACAACTGTTTTTGAGAAAAATAAAGTAAAACATTTTTGAAGCAGAGAAAAAATAATGTATATTTTATATATTTTTCAGCTTGAAAAATAGTTTTTCACTATACCTACTTTATATCTTATTTTTGGAAGCTATCTTTCCATTCCCAATTTCCGATCCTAAAAAGATCCTAGGTTTAAAAATATATCAAACACTTTGAAAATAGAGTATTTTCACATATGCTTCATTTTTATGCGTTTAAAAGTATATTTTACCAAAAATAAAGTAAGATACGTTATTATAAAGTATGGTTGGCAAGCCATTAACACCGTTCGCTTCTATTCTACGCATGATTTTGAGGTGCTGTCGATTGTTACCTGGGCGGAGGCGCTGTGCGGGGGCAGCGGCGCGGGCTCCTCGGGCCCGAGCCGTACTCCCGTGCGCTTCATCATGCGTGCTCTTTCCTCACTGCGCGCCCATCACACGGCGACGCGCGCCACCTGGAACCCAAAAAGCACAGCTGCCTTCAACGAAGGATCGCGAAAACTTTCATTCGTACATGGAAATTTCTAGACTCAACAAGCGGTGCCCGGAACCATGGAGCGCACTCGTAGCCTTCACAGTATAACTCAACAGTATCTCACAGGGGCAAAAAATTAGATATTATGCCAAACTAGTAAACGACTTACTTCGCCTCCATCGCATTTGCAACGCGTTGTCGGCTTTTGTCCATTAGTTGGCAGTCGCGTGGACATTGGCAAACGATTTGCACTAGTAACATATTGAATGACAATGCCAATCATTGTCTGTAAGGTTTCAAAGCGTGGAGAATATGTTAAAATGTATGTGAAAATTTACCCACGTTGATATGCGATAGGGAAACAGTGTATGAATTGTGATGAATGTATCCTGTGGGCCATGCGGTGCGTGGCGTTCATACGCGTCCATATGCAAGCGCACAAGCCCATATGCGTAATATAATGTAAACCCACTTTAACTGATTATGAACTCAAAATTATCATAGTTTGATATTGATACTTGTAGATTTTTCACGGGGTGACGTCATAACCCACCGCGATGTGTGGGCCGCGCTTGATCAAGTACGAAAACGTAAAAGTGAACGTATCGTGCATAAAACAACCATTCAATCTGATTACGCAACCGAAGAGTTGAACATAATGGAGATAATCTACGCCCCGATATGTAAATAGACATCGAGAAATTTAAGCGTCGAATACGGAATTCGTCGGGTGCTCGGGTTGGTATGTCTGTGTGTGTGTGTGTGTGTGTGTGTGTGTGTGTGTGTGTGTGTGTGTGTGTGTGTGTGTGTGTGTGTGTGCGTGTGTGCGTGTGTGTGTGTGTGTGTGTGTGTGTGTGTGGTGTGTGTGGTGTGTCGCTTCGCGCCGCGCCGCTCCTCGCCTCGCCACGCCGCGCTACTCGCAGCACAAGTTCGATCGAGAACCGGTACGTCGGCGCTCGGCGGAGCCGATGACACAAACTCAACTTATTTATAGCGAAAAACGTACACAAATCGATAAAACACCAATTACACACACGACCGCTATGTAAAGATATCACATAATAAAAATTTTGAATGCTATCCTAAGAGAAGCATAGTCCAATAGCAAGGGTTTCTTTCTTAGTGAGTATGGTAAGAAAATATTATTGTCACGACAATGAATCACGCCATAAAGTATCAAGTGTCTTACAACAATAGTCTTTCGGAATAGTGAGTTAAAGTCCGATTCGTAATAGATATGAAAAAAGGACGGCAACGCGGCGGCATTCGTCACCGATGTAGAAAATGGCGATTAAACACCACGAATTAAGTGGTGCCCTCCAACGAAAACATCCTATGTCAATAGCCACACCATGTTTAACAAATGACAATATTAACCTCTAACTCCTGCAATTGCCTCTATGCAAATATTACGTTGTGAAAGAAAAGTTATAGACTTATGATACATACCATTGAACCAGTTTCTTCCGTGCAATCAGGATAATCCTTTTAACATTTGAGACTTAATGCAACGTATAAACCGTTATAATGCAAGTATTAGCGATAATAACGAGCCGGGTATGCTTTGTGCAAGTACATTCGTGCGCCTCCAAATAGCGCAACGGCGCAACTTTTTCGAGCGCGGCGTCAACACGGTCAGGTGGGCGAGGTTGCGACACTGCCATGTTGCCATCTTTGTTACACATGGTCATCTCCCTCCGTTTTCGTTGTCTCTTTCGCGCTCGTACGGACATCTCGTCGGTGCGATGGATACGATCAGACGAATTCTCCGCGCACAAACGTCGCGCACCGAGCTGCGCCACCGACTGACTGGTAAGTGGTAACCGACGAGCAGACAGGGAACTACCGACGCGTCGCCATCGAGCGAGAGCCCTATGAAGTGCGGCAACGTCTCCACCGAATAAAAGCAAGCGAAACAGAGGTGCCGATATGAAATGCCACGACCGACCGATCTCTGAAAAGGTGGTGGACCAAAACAAATCGCCTTTCTCTAAAATTATACAACAGACAGTTGCTACAACATGTAGTAACTGTCTGTTGTAGCAGCACCTGGGCGCAATTTTATTTCCCGCCAAAACTTAATTCAGTAAACAGGATATGATTTTGTTGGGAAAAATAAAATTGTATACCTACCTACCTCTATTACCAACAGTAATCGTATAACTATGTAGTACAAAAAAGAAAACAGGACGGAATCGTAAATAATTTATAATAAAATGCCATTTTCTTATATCAAGATGAAACGAGGTACGTTTGGTAAGAAAATTTATTGTCGCGAGGTAAAACAAAGGTTCAAAAATATATAACGAAATTAATCTTTTGACTAGAATCCATATTACTCATATGTAGAAAAAAGAATATATTTCGAAGCTCCTCAAGACGATACGACCTAAATAATCAGTTATTGATGATGACTTATCCGAAAAAAAAAAAAAAAAAACTAAGATCAACATTAATGTAACATAAAGTGAGCACTAATGGTTACTCACGTGAGAACTTAATTTTAGACGTTTAAACAAGCGGCTTGTTTTTGTTTTCCAAGCATGTGTTGCTTGATTTATGTGGCATGGTAAGCATTAATCAAATACATTAACCATAACAGGGGATAAAAATTAAAATATTGATTTCATTTTTGAACGTCATTTCTAAGGGTAAAAAAAAAAAAAACAAAACTAGTTCCTTAAGTAATAATTGTTTATTCCTTAATTTAATTAACACATTTTTCATTAAATATTAAACATACATAATAAAAATAAGATTCATGGTTTTAAGTACGTACAATTAATGAGGACTTAGATACTTTAACCTCTAGTTTTAAATCCTTCAATAAAAATTTTAGTGTCTCGTATCATATTTAATTATGATTAGGCAATTAAATTAGTGACTGATAGAAAGTACGCTGTAGGAATTTCGCAATAGGCAAATCAAGTAACAATGCAATAATCAAAACGGTTTTAGAATGGAATAAGTAATAATATGCAAAATATTAATACTAAAAAGTTTAAAGATGCTAGATGATAAAAATATTAAATACGTCTTTACTGATAAGTATTCGAAGCTTTTATAACTAATATTTTACAAGTAGCTCTGTTTCCAAAAAAGTTTAAATCTCATATACTATAAATTCATTTATTTTGGCAAATTTACCTTGCTAATTATATTTAAGCTCGTCCAGGTAAAAAATTTTAGTAGTTAGCAAAGTTTGTAGAATAACCATTAATTGTTTGTATTCTATGTACATGTATTTATTGTATTTAAACTTTGCAATATGCTTGTTGCACTAATTAACAATATCGCTTTATTATGTGTTACTTTTAACAATTCTTTATACGAACTGGCCCACAATAAGAAAAGCTAATTATTAGAAACAAAACTATATGCATATAACGTTGATAATGATAAGATTTGAATTATAAAAAATCTGAATTAGTTACAGTACCTATAATACGTTTCAAATAAACATTGCACTTTGCTATTTCTTAAAAGCTTTTGTATTTATTGTAGTTTCAACAGAGATCGAGCTGTTTATCTTTTCTCAATAAAGCTTGACGCCGCATTGACGATTTTTCGCAACATTAAACTTATCCATAGTAGGAACGGAGGATACGAAATGTTGTAATATCCTTGAATTCTCTTATCATGTAGAACAAGTGAGCTTAACAGTGCGACGTTGCCAACATTCCGCGTGCGTTCTATTGCGTCTTAATTTTATAAGATCGACCGCCATCTTGTTTTATGATATAAGGTGGCTGGCTATTTGATGAAAAACTTTGTTTTACAACTATTTTGCCGTGACGGTAACCGCGGTAGACTTTTCAAAAAAAATTAGGCTACATACGCACAGCGCCATATAAATAAGGTGTTACGTAATATTCAAAAGTAGGTCCTTAATAGTCTCATTTACGGGGCTACGTTTCTAAAAGTGCTATCTTACCGTAAGGAGTAAGTAGAAGATATAGTTACGTAGATAGGCATCAATGCTTGTATTTGTTAAAGGCGAATGCCTGTTTTGGGTACATCCATAACTACGCATGTAGGAAGGCATAGTGTCGGTGCAATATGGTTGGGGATACGTACATTGGGCGGGTCGGGAGTCCGCACCTTATGCGGAGCGCAAGCCCTGAGCTTCCTGGGCTACGCTCGGACCGACCCACAACCAGATACATCACAGATTCAGGAATTTTAACTATAAATCCACAGTATCGATCACGCACAGCCGCCATTTTGAACCGACACTGAGCGGAAAGCGTGAACGGGTTCGCGGTGTTGCCACGTCGCTATTCTCCAACCCGCACTTCTATTTCTGGCTTACTCTTTCCCCCGCCCCACCGTATCAAGACGCTATTCGATAAACAGCAAGCTAAACAAAAGTATGAAAACTTATCAGATTTTTTTGGTGTTTTTGTATACACGTATAGACCTTTTTAACACCAGGGTTTGACAATTAAATCCGTGAGTGATTAAGCAGCCATTATGATAAAATTGTTTTACATGTTATAAAGCGCTGGCGTGATACATCGGGCCGGCTTTCACCGGTGCGGGGTGAGGCACGGCCGCGCAGGACATAGCCATTGGCCACCGCAGAGATCGATAGACAAACACAGACGAGGACGCCGACCCACATACCATTGTGTGCTTTGAGTAGCAAGACATAGGGACTACTTTCCTTCGGTTCAGACTATAAACAAACTACCGCACGATACACTGACGTACTTACAGTAGGCACACACAAATACAGTGCTGTGGAAACGACGCGAGCGAACGGCAAAGCGCGGCCCGAGCGACGAATGTATATCATCATGTATTATGGCACTTTTCTAGAGTCGAAATTCCTCTGCCACGGCGCACCCAGCGCTCCTTTCCGAAGGACAAAGGGTTGATTTCACACGGAAAACAAAGGGAAATGCCGGCTAAGATATTCTACGATATCTTATTACCGATAAAAGAAACTTTTTGTTTAATTAACTGGACATCGCGTTGCCAAGTCACTTTTGAGCGCGCAGTGTATGATTATGAAATTTCAATTTTTGATTTAATTAAATGTCACAAATAGAGCTTCAGCATAATATTAACATAATTTGATACCTATTCAATAATGTATAAAATTATAGATAATCTATAATAAAGACGGAATATGAAATGATGTAGCCAGATAATATTTTATAAATTTTATACTCATGAACATGAAAACAAGACTTTCTTGATAAATACACCACGAATTTACCATTTAATACGTTAATAAGCCTAGAATCAGGAAAGACGCAATCTGTCAACTAATTCACTTACCTGTTATTTTTACTAGAAACACGTTGTTTTCTTCACCAAATTCACGGGAACTTCACTTATTTATAGAATAAACAAGAATACTAAGGTATTTTAAGATTTTGGTATACTTTGAAATGCACAAAAAAACTACTCATTACGTTAAGCGACGGTCCTACACGGTTAAAGACCGAAAGCGAACTGTTGGTTTAGTTTGGGTCGGTTGATGGTGGAGGGCGGCGGGCGGAAAACCGGAGAACGGGTGAATGAGGGAGATAGAAAGGACATATTATTTTGCTAAGAAATTACTTTATAAATGAAATTAACGTAATCAAAGCGTTTTATGACATTTTTTTGTTTTTTGTTATCATATAAATAACTGTTTAATGTATACAAATAAAATACAAAATAAAAAGTTGTTCAAATGATTAATTCGATTGCAACTTGAATTTTGATTGATGGTTAGCACAGATAATACTTAGCATGTTGTAATTTATGTCTATGTTCAGTACAAGTTAATTTACTACATTCATTGTAATAAATATTTTTTGAATTCATTGAGTTATTTCAGATAAAATACAAAAATGTTTCAGATATTTTATAAAAGTAAATGCCATAAATAGTGGAGATTAAACAACAGTGTTTGATATCTTCTATCCAACCAAGTGACCAATCAAATGCGAGTGCGTGTATTTGACAGAAATAGATAAACATTATCACACGTAGCGAAAATTTTCGAACATTATTTATCCTATGTTTAATCAAAGTAGTTGCCTGAAGTAAAGAAAAAATTAAAGTTTCGTTTCATACCATGCGGTTAATTTTAGTGGTTTTTGGATGCATGCTAAGCATGTTATTAGTTTCAGCTAAAATAGACCCGCAAAATTTAAAATGTCTTGGTATGTTTTTTTATAATTCTAAATTATTAAAAACTATTATTATTTAACACAAAAATATTTTTCAGTGTGCCGACAGACTTTCGAAGAGTTGAATAAGGTGATCATGAATGTGGATAAGTGGAAAAAAGTAGATGTAAGTATGATGTAATATTTGTAATTTTTAATTGAATTTCATGTTAAATACCAAAATTTATGTACAAATAAATCGAGTAAAATGCACTTTACATTTAGGCAATATGCCGATATGCATTTTATACATGGGCTGTGCAATGGTAATGTTAGTATTCAACCAGCAGAACTTTACTGGGATTGATTCCTAATGACCCCCATCCTATAGAGTAAGTGAAGTAGAATTGTTATTCTGTTTACCCATTTTGTCTGGTGAGTAAAGTAACCAGGCTACACTGTCAACTTATTGTCTCCACAACCACTTAATGTTATCCTTATCCTCCTGCTATCTTGCCACCTCTTTCATTTGAATTTGATGACTCCATGGCGCAGTTGTCAGTCTTTGGTTCAATTCCCACATGGGACAATATTTGTATTACCCACAAATAATAATTTTAGATCTTGGTGTTTGTCTATGCGAAATTTGTGTACGAAAAAAACTGCTTTGCAGTACAGGATATTGTCATCCTACATTCTTTCTATTTTTAAAATCGTTAAAAAAATGCTACAAGTATATTCTATGTAGTGGCTAATCTTCTAAACTCCTCAGTTGGCTAGGAATGATATTCTCCTTGCTTCCTCAATATTGTTGCCAAAAATGTTTAAATTTAACTTATAAGGTTAAATTAATGTATTCTCTGAGTGGGAGACGCAGGCAGCCGTGACACAGTTTATAGTAGTATGGCTGCCGACGTTTACCTTTCAATGTAATTGATGCTACTTTTAAATAGTGTTAGTTATTATGTAAAATTAGTTGAGTGAATAAACAAATATTATTATTATTATTCTTAATCTTTGTGTATTGATTCTTTTATTTAATCAACAATAGCAATCACTACATAGTATAAAACAAAGTCATCCGGCTTGCCCCTATGTATGCTTATATCTTTAAAACTATGCAAGGGATCTTGATGAGTTTTTTTTAGAATGATTGAAAAATAAAGTTTTTATGTATAATATATTGCAACCGTGTCACTTAATATCAGGTGAATCGCCAGCTCATTAGCCACTTTCCCACATAAAAAAAAAACTTTGTTAAGTAATAAGTTTGTCTTTATTTTCATATGCAGTATTTGAATTGTGTATTGGCTTTGGTTACAGGTAGGAAACTTCAGGATGGATGCAAGCGGTAACACTATGCAACAAAAGGTACCAGCTCATCGCTCTGCTGTCTACATATCTGAACTTATTGATGACATTTGTAAGTTTTACTTCAATGTGGTATGTATTTATCTTATGGGTAATATATCATCAGTTTGCTAAAAGTGAATAATTTAGATGATTATCCATATTTGGAACAACTAATTTTGTGAGAGTGTAGTCTTTACATGTTCATAATTACAAGTCTTGGTAAATTTTATGATAAATAATTGTAAGATTTCAGATTAAACTCTATTTGGTGTCGACAATATTTATTACATAACCTAATACTCGGCTATTGGTTATTGATTAAAGAAAATTACAAAGGTATAATTAAAATTAACTAAGGTTATTTGCCAAAAGACTGTCCAGTTGAGTTTTTTCGTTTGCTTGGAAGGTTATACAGTTGGCTCACAAGGCCATTGATGAAAGTAAAGTATGGACCTTTATGGCATTTGAATAGTTATAGAACAGTAGTAGATGTCAAAAAAACAAACTTAAAACAAAGTGTGATTTTTCGGAAATCAGTGAGTTTCATTGAACTCCATTTTCCAAAATGTGTATCATAAAATGTGTAATAGCCATTATATACGCGTAAATAAATCTTATCTTTGACCATGACCACTAGATTTTATTTAACAATTTGTTATATTGTCGTATGGATTGTGATGGTACAATTGGTGCAATTGTTACAATTGGTTATTCAGTAAACTACAAATTTTGTTTGTAAAACTACGGTTAGAAGGCTAGAGAAATTATGGTACAGTTATTTATATTTTCATATAAGATATAGTATTATAAAAGTAGACTTTTAAGTTATTAGAATGAAGGTGCCATCCTCAAGACGGATAATTTGAATAGCATGCGTCGAGCGTGGGTCTAAACGTGATTTGCGTTTGCAGGCAAGAAGATGGACGACTACGTGCGCGTGTACTACAAGTCCACGGGCAAGCTGGCCATCATGCTGCTGATCACCGAGGACGGCAGCATGAACCCCGAGTTCTCCAAGACCAAGTTCGTCACCGACGACGACCTCAACAAGAGCCTCGAGTACTACGTGAGTGAGAGGGCCGCCCCCGCCCCCCCCCGCCCCGCCCCCGCCCCGCCCAGAGGCGACAGCTTTGTAACCGGACGAATGGCTTGTTTGCCCGCAGTGCGAGCGCATGTTCGAGGACAACGAGGACGAGATCACGGAGCTGTACAAGAACCGGCCCGAGGACGACGTGATGCCCGACGCCGAGCGAGCCGTGAGCGCCCACAACTCTATATACATGTATATTATTTATTATTTCATCGAGGTGATCGTGTAACGCGCACGTTTCAGATCTGCTTCAACCACACGAGGTACTGCGAGGAGTGGATGCTGCCGAACGAGGAGGACACCACGTGGACGCCCGCGATGGAGGCGGAGTACGTGAAGGTGAGGCTGTGAGCGGGCCCCGGCCCGGCGCGGGTGGCGCGCGGGCGGAGGCCTGAACGGAGCGCGCTCTCCTCGGCAGGTGCACGGGCCCGACCCCTACGGCTTCGGAGGGATGCCCCCGCCGCCCGCCGACGACCACTTCGAGCCCGACGACGGCGCGGACGACCACGCGGACGACCACGGCGACGACCACGACCACGGCCACGACCACGGCCACGACCACGGCGACCGCGCGCACGCGGAGCTCTAGGCCCGGCGCGCTCGATACCTACGTACTTAGACTTTTTATGACTCGTTATTTATAATGCCAAAAGTTGTTGATGGCGCGAAAGGGACGGCAGGGTGTTGGAATGAGAGGGGCGTACACCAAACCGGCACTGTACGGAGCGCTCCCAGCAGATTCTCAAACGTACCGCTTTGTGCCTTTACTCCTCCTTCCCTATTGTCCATTTTTTTGTTCACCACTACATTACTGTTTTGCTGGGACATTTACAATTAGGCTTAAGATTACCTGCTCTTAAAACCTTGTAACGATGTAAATGCAGCAAGTAAAAATAAATGTTTGTTTGAAAAATTTGTTCGCCAACATCTATAAATACCAACATCACATAGTTAGTCCGTGTTCCGCTTTTATTTAGACTCAATATACGTTCCTACAGAATGGAATGGACACAAGTCGACGTACTGAAATTTTTCATAGCAATTGTAAGTTAAACATAGTAGATACGCGACAAACTCCCGGCGAATCCCCTCGCATTCTAAACGATTCCCATAGGAATCCGTGGAGTGGCAAGAAGCCCAGAGCTAGATCTACAATGCGATTCTAGAAATAGAAATATAACAGTAAATTCAAACTTGTTAGGTAGGATAATATTTATTTGCAAATAAATTTTGTATCTAAAGCATGGAAGAAAAAGTTTTAATAGGAATCTAGCATGTCAATTCCGCTTATTTAATTTTCGATTCGTTCGAAGTAGTTAATTTCTTTCTGCGTATCGTCACTGGCAATTGAAGCGATTACTACCACTGGTCGGACTCTTAATTGGGCTGATAGAGATATCAATGTGACACTGCGCTGTTTCCCGCTTTTCACTCGAGCTCTCCCATGCAAAATGACGCTTTTTTTATTCATTTTGGTGCAGTTAAGTGAGATAAAAATAAATAATTACTATTTCCGCGCAACAAAACTGAATAATAATTTTTATCAAAAAAAAAACTGACCAAACCGGAAATTAAAAAACATTGTTAACACCTATAACATTTGAGCCCTCAATTTCTCTGGGATGCCATCATCAGATCCGGGTTTCCTTATCATGGTACCATCCTTGGGGTATCTTCTTTATGGGGTATGTACTCGTGAGAATTCCCGAGCATCGAGGAGGAGAAATCGACAATTCTTTTCCATTCCGTGGCGATGTAATTTGAGACTTAGAAGGTAATTTCTATTTTCAGCAACGTATCAAAGTTTTTGAACCACTTACAACATTTTACAAAACTTTAAAAATGTTTTTAGTTTTCCATCTCCTGTTTTCGAAAGAACGATCGCTTATTTCATGACCGCATCGAATATCGGTAAAAGTCTGTTAATGAATAACTAAAAGGTAACTTTAAAATCTCAAGCTATCAAGCTTTGTATATGTGTCGAAATATAACACGGTTTATATAACCTAACCTAACTGTAACCCGTATTTTATTTGAGATTTAAGTTACTATACGTAATAGTTACGGGTTAAAATTGGTACACAGGTTCCCTAACGTTACAATTTTAGCCACCGATGTAAAAATAAAGTATAACCAGGATTTTGCCTGGTTTTGGTATTTAATGGTTCTAAAATTAAATATTTGTTTCAAACGAGATTGAATGGAATTCATATTGAGTAAACATTTTGTAAACTGTCAAGATGCGCTAACTAAATCGGACGGGGATTAGCAATTTATATTTCAAGAGTGAACTAGGAACTGTTCCTAGCGTTTCATAAGGAACACTCCCCGTCAACGCGATCTTCATACAGAAACGAGGTTATTATGAAATAGAAAATATACTCCCTCATCTGTCTAATTCCAGGTCTGAAATGGAATTGTCAGTTTAAGCTTACTCCCTGCGCTTGACAATTCTTGTTCGTACTCGACGCGTTCAAAGACGATATGTCAAATGTCGCATGTCTTTTTGTTTTTCTTAAGTGTGTGAATATTATTTCCAGCAAAGCTGGGGACAGGGTAAAACCTTAGCTAGTAGTTCTATTGATGAACCTTCCCGATGAACATAGTGGCATCTGCACACCTTCTTACGTTTTTATAGTAGGAATTACGTTAAGAAGAAGATGGAAAGTTTATTTGTTGTCTTTTAATAATCTACATTCCGATCTAGTAGAGTAGAGTATATTAAGTCTATGGTTGTGTGTAAAAACGTGATACTGTTACATTTTTTATTGAATATACGTTACATGAGCGTGAACATTTCCATTCCATAATGAATTGTGCAAAGCATAAATGAGCGTAGCCTTTTACCTACTCTTTTGAAGAAAAATTTAAAAGTATAGCGAAGTATTTTTTATAATCTTTATAGTCCGTTACTCTAACTTATAAAGTTCAATACTCGAATCTAGACTGTCGAGTCAGCCTAGAAATGCTCAAAGATAAATATCGCTGGGAGAGAACTGTTTTGTACTCTGAGTCTTGTGTCTTCTTCACTAAGGTGAGGCTCACCTAAGTGAAGAAAGTCACATAAGTATCTACCTAATAAAGTGTTGTGTTTGTACAGAGAGTGTTTCATTTCACCAAGAGACGAGTGTCCTCTCTCGGCGAATCGCGTGAGGCTCCGAGTATGTATGGTATTTTTAAAAACATTACGGTACATTCAATTTTTTATATACCAAAATATATGACTTCACTTTAATTAGCAATTCTAAATGCTAACCAATAACCGGAGTCTTCTGACCTTTTGCATAGTTGTTGCAAATATGCTTTGAAAGCAGTTCTTTCGATCAAATTGAGGTGCTATAATGACTGTGACGTCCTTGAAATTATAAACTCCAGTGAATGTTTTATACTGTCTGCTAAGTATTGTAAACCTCTGAGAAATTGTGTGCATCTCGTAACTTTCTAGTATCTTAAGACTGACTGACCTGAGAAGAACCGGCGAGAGAAACTAGGGCTACTTACTTTTTCCATTTTTTTTTACATAGAATGACACTTCTTTTAGTGTTGCCAACACTAAAAGAAGTCGGACCTTGAGGTCATTGGTTCATGGTCTTTTTCGTCTTTCTCTGGTTGTCATCAAGAAGTATACGCAATAGTGCTGCCCAATCGGTATCTAGAGTGGTGTTTTATTAGTGATATTAAACTGATAAAATAAGTAATTCTACCAGTGTTATTCTTGTGCAAAGTGAAACTACGGTGATTTGGTAAAAGTATTTATATTTCTACCTTCTTAGCTCGATAAAATAAAGTATAGCTAACAGACATACAATGTGTGACATGAATATATTAAATACAATATGAAAAGTCTGATTGAAAGAGCCTGGAGTGATCAATTCATTACCAGAGTGTGTTAAGATTTAAATAATCATTAATATCCTAGTCTTCATCTTAATCGCCTTTAACGCACAAACGTTCTTTTACAATCTTTTTAAATTTAGCTATTGACGCATTTGAATGTTGTCTGGGATTTTGTTGTAGAAACGAATACATTGTCCCATAAAAGATCTACTTGTGGGTAGGATCAATTTTTATATTTGTTCCTAATATTTATATCATGAACATTATCATCTCTGTCTTGAAAATTCATCCTGATTTTGATGGACATAGATAACATTTTCAAGGATGTACTGAGTAGCAACAATCGATACCTTTATACATTTAAACAATTTTTTTAACGATTCTTTCGAACGAAGTTTATAAACTGCTCGAATAGCTCTCTTTTGGAGGATGAAGATTATACTTATGACGGGCGTTACCCCAAAGTAGACTGCCATAAGACACGATACTGTGGAAATAAATAAAATATTACCAAGCGAACCGTATCCACATCAGTCAACTGTCTTATTTTTTTAAACGCATTTCAAACTGTAAAGTTAGTACATTTAGTTTTATTTATTATTCAACCGTAAATTGTTAGCACTAAACCAATATACTACAGTATCCACAGTATTTTTTTTTTTTTCTCTTTATTGTATTTAGGGACTTTTACACAAATATGCATATGTCAGTCCCATTGTACCTTATAACTAACATGTTCACAGAATGACTTATATTTCTAAGATTACTCATTGTCAAGGAAACGCAATTGTACAAATTTATATAAATAAAAAGCTGCCTTAGAGCTAGGTTTAGACAAAATATGGTGGAAAGTACCTACATCGAATAAATTTAATTTTAATAATTTGATTAAGTAATCACGGGCTAATTTATACCTCACACATTCTGTTAATATATGATTGATATCTTCATACATTCCACAAGTTTCACAATTAGGTGAACTACTTTTTCTCATTATATAGCTAAACTTGTTCAGTGGCATGTGCCCTGATCTCAGTCTAAGAGCTATAACTAAAAGTTTTCTACTATATCTACTACTGTAGAACCATGGCACTTGCGGTGGTACAGGCACAATTGTTTTGTACCAAATTCCTTTATCCCTAGATCTTAAATCGAAGTACTCTTTCCACAGTGTGTGGCACTTTTTTTTGTACTTTGGTAACAATTCTGCATAGTATGGCATTATCGTTAGCGGTTTTCCTTCAGATATCCCTAATTTAGCCAAACGATCTGCCTCATCGTTTCCTTTTAAGCCTATATGTGATGGAACCCATTGCAATTTGAGATTAAATCCCCTGTTCATTAAACTATAAATTTTTCCTAAGATATCATACGCTATCGATGCACCTCTATGTCCAGAGGCGCATCGAGCAATATGATACAAGGCGCTTTTACTATCGACACAAATCAGTATATCAGTTCTGTCTATTGTACTTACATACGACAATGCTTCCGAAATTGCAATGAGTTCCAGGTACATAACTGAAATATGGGTAATATTAATTTTAAAACTACAAGTGATGTTGCAACCTAGTTTTAAGGGATCATAGAAAGCTGCACCGCAACCATCCATATTCTTTGACCCATCGGTATAAATAGTATAGTAATTTTTATATTCTTCATGCAGTTCCTTTAACACTTCTACTTTTAGAAAGCTGTTAAAATATTCCTTTTTTGATTTATCTATGGATTGTTAAGTTACATTTTATA